ATTCAAGTAAACAATATGGTATTATATTACTACATTCTATATCTTATACGTCCAGAGCTTACTCATAATTCAAACAGTGTACTCACTTTGCAATATCTCCTCATTCCCCTTTCGTCCCCAGCCCTTGGAAACCATCACTGTTCTCTTTGCTATGAGATCGACATTTGTGGTTCCCACATGTAAGTGAGATCATGTGGTATTTTTCTTTCTGTGTCTGGCTTATTTCACTTAATACAATGTCTTCCAGGTTTATTCACGTTATTGTAAATGATTGGATTTGCTTTTTTTTTAATGACTCAATAGTATTCCATTGTGTATATATACATACACATACACACACACACACACTCTTTCTCTACCCATTCATCCATCAATAGGCATATCAATGGATTCCATATCTTGGCTTGTGCTGCAATAAACACGGGAGTGTAGGTATCTCTGAGATACTGATTTCAATTCCTTTGCATACATACCCAGAAGTGGAGACTGCTGGATTATACGGCAATTTCATTTTTAACTTTTGGAGGAACCTACAGACTCGCTGTAGTAATTTACACTCCCTCCAAGAGCATCCAGGTTCTCCAACACTTCTTATCTTGTCTTTTTGAGAATAAGCATCCTACAAGGTGTGAGCTGAGAGCTCACTCACTTTCATTTGCATTTCCTTGATCATTAGTAGTGATTTCTAGTTCTGAGGCTTAAACACCAATCTTTCCGAGAGAAATGCAACCAGTCATTTATGTAGTAGACAAAATATAACCCAAGATAAAGAGCTCAGAACCAAGGCAAACAGGCCTCGAGTTCTGGTAGTGGCTCTGCTACATGCTGGCTGCATAATGTTGGGTAAACATGGCCATGAGAACCTGCCCTGAGCTGGCTGAGCCACAGGCACACTATCACAGCCATTTACAAGTCTGCTTTCCCTAACTAGGCCACACATGCTGGTCAGAGCCCTTCCTTTGTGTCAAATGAGAGGCTGGGTCTCTGGGACACAGGAGGCTCACTGCTCAATGAACAAATCACGATGACTCCCATTTCCCCATCATAAAAGGAGAAACTGGACTGGATCAAAGACCTTTTAACTCCTTTGAGGAACGGGTGCTTTCCATTCCATGGAAGCTCTGAGCTCAGGGATGGGATTGTAGAAGACATGGTGACACTGGCATTTTTGGTTTTCTGGAAGTTTCTGGAGTTTCCGACACAAGGACTGGAGCTGACCCAGGAAAGGTCTTGACACTGACTGTGTGGGCATTCCTGTCACGTCTAAACTGCATGAAGGGTGAAGGGGAAGGAGAAATTTGGAGAACAGTTTGAGAAAGGGGTAGAGGAAATACTCAGCCTCGTAGTCTGTCCACTGAGTTTCCAGATGTGCCAGCAGGTCTGAGTAGTCACTTTGTATGTTTGTGATACAGCTCCAGGAGAGAAAACCCTGTTACTCTTAACCCTGAAATTGTGCCGTCCTCTGTCTCTCTCTCAATAAACAAATAAGCTTCATACAAACAATTCTCCAAATTCCCTTCATTATTGGTTCTTAAAATTTCTCATTTGCTTCTTCTTCTTTTTTTTTTTTTTTAATTTTTGACAGGCAGAGTGGAGAGAGAGAGAGAGAGAGAGAGAGAGAGAGGTCTTCCTTTACCGTTGGTTCACCTTCCAATGGCCGCTGATCCGAAGTCAGGAGCCAGGTGCTTCCCCTGGTCTCCCATGCAGGTGCAGGGTCCAAGGACTTGGGCCATCCTCCATTGCACTCCCGGGCCATAGCAGAGAGCTGGACTGGAAGAGGGGCAACCGGGACAGAATCCGGCACCCCGACCGGGACTAGAACCTGGGGTGTCGGCGCCACAGGTGGAGGATTAGCCTATTGAGCCGCAGCACCAGCCTCATTTGCTTCTTTAAGGGAAACAACTACCATCAACAACTATGGTTAGTAGCTAATGCTACTATGGTTGGATGAAGTTTCACAAAGTTAACTTTAATTCCTCTAATTTAACTTAGACTGCCACCAAAGTCACTTAATGAACAAGCAATTATCTTAAAAAATAGAATTTTATTCCATAGGAAGGGAATTAGGTGCCAACAGATGAGCAACTTCGGGAAAAAATTTGAAAGTAAGTATTTTTAGAAAAAGCTGATTTAGAACAATGGTGTAGACCTTGTCGAAAGGTAAATCCAGCAAGTTGTTAATTAAATCTTAAAAACTTGGTGTGCACCGTAAGTCAACAGAGAAACTATTTTTTTTATACCAATCTGAAGTCCTCAGCGAATAAAAACAGTATTTTCAACTGAGGTAAACCTTGTAGCTTTTCTTTTCTATCCTGGGAATAGAAAGCTACTCAAAAGGATAACACACAAGTGAAGAGACACTGGGTGAGCAAACATCTAGCACATTTGCTACATGTGAAAGTCACAGGTACCTGGGGGAACAGTCCTAGTTCAAATTTACACTTATCAAGAGACTTCCACAGCAACCAGTATGTTTCAAGAGCTATGGTAGCCAGCGCTGTGGCTCACTAGGCTAATCCTCTGCCTGCGGCGCACGCAGGCACCCCGGGTTCTAGTCCCGGTAGGGGGGCCGGATTCTGGCCCGGTTGCTCCTCTTCCAGTCCAGCTCTCTGCTGTGGCCCGGGAAGGCAGTGGAGGATGGTCCGGTCCTTGGGCCCTGTACCTGCATGGGAGACAAGGAGGAAGCACTTGGCTCCTGGCTTCAGATCGGCACAGCGCGCCGGCCGCAAACACCGGCTGTGGCGGCCACTTGGGGGGTGAACCAACAGAAAATGGAAGACCTTTCTCTCTGTCTCTCTCTCTGTCTAACTCTGCCTATTTAAAAGAAAAAAAAAAAAGAGCTATGGAAGACATTACTTTAGGACTTAACAGAAAAGACAGTGTGTTCTGGTTGGGCTCTGGGTGCATGTTCTGATATGTAATGTGTGGGCCTTAAATCCACACTGACCGACACACTGTACTGCTGCATGGATGCTGCCCGGACTAACACAGCCTTAGGCAGCAGAGGACCTGTGGTGGAGCCCAGCACCCCGACTTCAAAGAAGTGAAATGAGCACAAGAATTGTAAACGCGGTGTTTCTCACCAGAAGAATGACCTACATTTTGGACAGATGAACGTTTGTTGCACAATGCCAGCAGCCACTTTGGGGCACTTAGCATTCTTTTCCTACCCACTAAATGTCAACTGCTCACTGCAGCCCTCTGCTCAGCCAGAGTGAAACATGGCTGCAAGTTCCCAGTGCACCTCACAGCCCTGGGGCCCAGCAGACGGCAAGGAACAACTGGCTTAAGTCCTTCCCACAGCCCTCGGTACCACCTTTAATGGCTACACAAACTGCACAGATGAGGTGAGCCAATGTATTCAATCAGCTCCTAATAAAGGGCTTTTAGATTATTTTTGGATCTTTGCGATTATAAATCTCACTCTAATGGGCACCAATAATAGCTGGGTATTTGTATATCAGTGTGATTATTTCTTTACAATACATTCCTAAGAGTGGAATTGCTGGGTCAAAAGAGACACAGGAGCCGGCACTGTGGCACAGTGGGTTAACGCCCTGGCCTGAAGCGCCGGCACCCCATATGGGCGCTGGTTGGAGACTGGCTGCTCCACTTCCGATCCAGCTCTCTGCTATGGCCTGGGAAGGCAGTAGAAGATGGCCCAAGTCCTTGGGCCCCTGCACCCACTTCGGATTGGTGCAGCTCCAGATGTTGCGGCCAATTGGGGAGTGAACCATTGGATGGAAGACCTCTCTCTCTCTCTCTCTCTGCCTCTCCTCTCTCTGTGTAAATCTGACTTTCAAATAAAAATAAACTCTGAAATCTGAAACACTTTGCATCCCCAGCATTTAGGATGAGAAATGCTCAACTTGTAGCAATTTCTGGTCCTGTATGGGTTGTCCAAGGCTAGTTTCTGATACTTCAACAAACACTGAATAATTATAAATATAGTACTTACCTAGGTAGATGGACAATAGAAACAATTTGATTAGTACTGACACTGAACATTTGCATATTGCCATTTGCTACACACAACATTTTTGTGATTATTTATTTAGCCATATAGATATTATTATTAAACCCATAAAAACTCTATGTATATCATGCATGTTGTATGTAACACATTTTTCCATATTTAAAAAAATGGACTTGTCATTTTTTTAAAATTTTTTTTTATTTTTTGACAGGCAGAGTGGACAGTGAGAGAGAGAGAGAGACAGAGAGAAAGGTCTTCCTTTGCTGTTGGTTCAACCTCCAATGGCTGCCGCAGCCGGCACACCGCGCTGATCCAAAGGCAGGAGCCAGGTGCTTATCCTGGTCTCCCCATGGGGTGCAGGGCCCAAGGACTTGGGCCATCCTCCACTGCACTCCCAGGCCACAGCAGAGAGCTGGACTGAAAGAGGGGCAACCGGGACAGAATCCAGCGCCCCGACTAGGACTAGAACCCAGTATGTCAGCGCTGCAAGGCGGAGGACTAGCCTAGTGAGCCACGGCACCGGCCTGGACTTGTCATTTTCTAGAGTTGAAATGTGAATAAGATGTTCACACAAAGTATAACATTTTGACAGGCAGAGTGGACAGCGAGAGAGAGAGAGAGGGACAGAGAGAAAGGTCTTCCTTTTTCTGTTGATTCACCCCCCAATGGCCACTGCGACTGGCGCGCTGCACCGATCCGAAGCCAGGAGCCAGGTGCTTCTCCTGGTCTCCCATGTGGGTGCAGGGCCCAAGGACTTGGGTCATCCTCCACTGCACTCCCGGGCCACAGCAGAGAGCTGGCCTGGAAGAGGAGCGACCGGGACAGAATCTGGCTCCCCGACCGGGGGTACCTGCGCCGCAGGCGGAGGATTAGCCTATTGAGCTGTGGTGCCGGCCCCTCATAAATATATTAACATAAGACTCTCACAATGAGAATTTTAGGAACTGAGAAAAAAAAAATTCTTTCTGTCCTTTGAAAGGCACGATAAGTACTCTACAGCAAGGGACTGCAGTGCACATCCTACCTGAATGTTGTCGAACCTGAGCCCGGGCATGGTGAGGCTCTCCTTGTCTATGAACACAGTGCCGCACTGCTGCGTGGCTACTGCGGTCAGGACGTCCCTGGTGCTCTGGCTGGGAAGCCACGCGTCATTCCTTCGGTCCATCTCACTCATGCTAAGCGCGGTGGCGAAAGGGTCATCGCTGCCTGCAAACACAGCCTGTATCTGTGAAAACGGTCTCGGGGAGTCAGGGATTTCCGGGGCAGCAGTGGAAGTGCCTGATTCCGATCTGGGCACCCCTGCAGGGTAAGAACAGTCAGGAGAGTCCAGGGCCTTTTCTCCCATCGAGGCAGTGAGTGGTGACGACTTTTCCGGAACGGAGGAGCCTGCGTTAGGGTTACTGACGGAAGTGAAAGTGGATGTAGTGAAGGAGTCAAAGAAGCCAGAGGCCAAGGAATTCGTGCTCACTGGATCCCCAAAAAATTTGCTCAGACTGGGGCTGGGCCGGACCACCTGGGGAGGGGTCTTGGCGGACATCTCGCTTGCACTGCTGAAGCTGGGCGATTTCACCATCTGAGACTCGAAGCCATCGTGCAGAAACAGGTGTGGCTGGGCAGGTGCAGCACTTGCCTGGCTAAAAATGGTGCACACGGGCACAGGCTCGTCTTTGGAAGACTGACTGGAAGATGCCTCTGGGACCTGCTCTTCTCCAGGGGCCTTTTCACCCCTAGGCGTCAAGTCCTCTGTACCTGCATCCTCAAAGACTGGCATGGCCGTTGCTTCTTCCTGTGTGGAGTCTTCCTTCAGAGAGGCTTTGCTGTCAGAGGTCATGTCAGAGACGTCTCTCGGCGTGGCATCTGTGTCCGTCTCACTGCCGTTACTCGGGGTGTGCATCCCTTCTCCAGCTGTGATACTGGCCAGGCTGGGATCCGCATTGCCTTCCACAGGTTCCACGACATCCTGCAAACAGCCAAGGTCACCTGCGTCATCTTCACTGTTATTAGGGGAGTCAGAAATGAGGACACTCTCCATCATGTGCTCATTGAGCTTATCTATGAAGTTGTGGGAATCTTCTGATATGGTCTCATTCTCTTCAGACCCAAATTCATCTCCACCAAGATCAATGGTTTCCTCATGATAAAGAAGCTGCCCCTGGTCTTCCTGGGGCACCTGCTGAGTGACCCTCTCAGCCCCAACGCTGGCAGGAGGAAACCCCTCGGTCACACTCTGGTCACCACCTTTAGCATCCTCCATGCTACCTGAAACAAGGACAAACAGAAATCGACCTTAGCAGCTGTCTATTTGAGCTATTATTAACCTCCTTTTGTCTTTTCTTTTAAACTGAAACAATGTTTATCGGTTATATAATCAAGTGGCACAAAATTCAAAGTCTTTCCTTCCTCCAGCTGTTGTTTCTAATTGTGTAAAACATAAGACTTCCACAGTGGAGTACATCTACAACCATCACATTATAACCATCTAACTCCAAAATGCTTCATCTTGCCAAATGATGATTCCATACCCACTGAACAACTCCCCATATGTCCACTCTCCCACCCCCCAGCACCAGGCAACAGCCACTACAGTTTTTAATCTCTCTGAATTTGACTGAGTAGCTCAAACAAGGGGAGCTACGCAATGTTTGTCTTCACGTGATTGGGCTATTTTACTTAACATAAGATCTTCAGTATTCACCCATGTTGCAGCATGTGTCCGAACTGCTTTCCTCTTTAAGGGATGAGTAGTAGCCCCCTGTAGCACAGACCACGTTCTCTTTATCCATTTACTTGCAGATGCAGATCTGGGTTGGTTCTACCTTTTAGCTAATGTAAATACTAGCTGCTATTAAGTTAAAAGTACAAATAACTCACGAGACCTTGCTTTTCATTCGCTGGGTATATACCCAGAAGTGGGACTTCTGAATCATGTTGTAATTTTATTTTTACTTTTCAAAACTGCTCTCACGGTCACTGAACCATTTTACATTCCTACTAACAGTGCACAAGTGTTCCAATTTCTCTACATGCTTGTCAACTGCTGCTATCTTCATTTATTTCAGTTTTTAAAATACTATTTACATACTCTGTGTGCGGGCTCCAGCTTCTTAAACACTGTTCTTTAGCTAAAGGCCCCTCTTTTCCTTGACATTTTTCCAAGACACTCCAACACATAACCATCTCTTTACCTCCCTCTCACCGAGTTTAGGATAGTGTGTGCTCAACTGTGGGAAGCTGAGACAGCCCGGCATGCCAAAAGTTCAACGGCAGGAAACAAGGCCATGTTCGTGGTGACAGCAGCAGCCCCTCCCTGACTGGAACCACGAATGCACCTGATCCCCAACCCTGCGACGCGGCTGGGGAGGCTGCGTGGCTGCCAAGTGGGGACGCCGGGGCCGGCTGCGGCACACGCTGGGGTGACACCGGCCGTCGGAGGCCGCGGGAGGAAGCAATGACCAGCCCTTCCGAGGACGTGGAGAGCGAGCACAGGAGCGCGGACGCAGCAGGGACGGCCGGGGGTGCCCCAAGGCGGACGCGCGACTTCCTCCACCCATGGACCCGACCCCTTCTGGGGAGACCAGGCGCTGGGGCAGCGGGCTGCAGCCCCGACGGGGCACGGGTGACCCCGCACGCAGACGCCCCGCTCCCTCTGGGAAGCGGCCTGAGACCCGAGCAGATCCCCTCCCCTGCCACCCGCCCGCTGGGCTCTGCGGAGCGATCACCTGCGGGGCGGTCAGAGTCCGGGCAGAAAGGGACGGAAGCCCGGAAGCAGGGAAGGCACTCCGGGCATCGCCGCGCGGCTTGTGCGCCTGCGCGTGCCCGTGCTCCGCCAACCCACTTCCTCTCCTGCCCAGTGAGGTAGCGGGCGCCCCTTGACCTCAGCCGGAAGCGCCGTGTTTCCGGTTCCTCTGTGGTGGGCGGGGCCTGTAGTACAAGGTGCTTGTGGGAGGGGCGGCCAGGAGCGGGTGGGTGGAGAAATCACCTGCCCTGCCCTGAGGGGCACGCAGAGGCGGAAGCAGCAGGTGGAAGAGAGGCGCCGAAGCCGTTTCTACTGGCCAGCAAACGCTGCAAATACTGATTTCTAGGAATTTGTGGTTGTGATTAACCTGTTTTCTACCTTTCCCACCCTTCAAATGTAGTATTGTAAAACACTGACGGTAAACATGGTAGTATAAAACCATACATGCATAATTCATTGTGCTTTGACACTGCATTTTTTAAAACAAAGTAAAGGTTTGTGGCAACCTTAAATAAACTCTATTGGTTCTATTTTTCCATAGCATTTGCTCATTTCTGAGTTACATTTGGGTAATTCCTTACAATCTCTAAAATTCTTCCACTACTATTGTATGCTATGGTGATCTGTTACCAGTGATAGGTGATGTGACTATTGCAATTGTTTTGCGGCATCATAAACAGTACCCATATAACACTGCAAATTTAACCAGCAAATGTGTGTGTTCTGACTGGTCAACTTATTGGCTGTTTGCTTATCTCTTTCTCTGTCCTTATGTCTCCCTATTTTCTGACACAACAATGTTGAAAATAGGTCAATTAATATCCCTACATTGCCTGTATGTGTTCATGTGAAAGGAAGAGTGGCCTATCTCATTTTAAATCAAAAGCTAGAAATGCTTCTAATGAGTAAAGCATTTTGAAAGTTAAGCTGGTCCAAAATTAGGCCTTTTGGGCCAGTTTACCAAGCTGTGAATACAAAAACAAGTTCTTGAAGGAAGTCAGAAGAGCTACATTGTATACTGATGTACACATGAGCGATAAGAAATCCAAAACAGTCCTTGTTTCTGATATGGACAAAGTTTTAGTGTACAAATAGAAGATCAAACCTGCTGCAACATTCCCTTACATCAGTCTAAGCTAGAGTGAGGCCCTTACTCTCTCCACTTCTACAAAGGCCAAGAGACAAGAAGCTGCAGTAGAAAATCCTAAAGGAAGCAGAGGGTGGTTCACGACAGTGGCAGAGGCCACCTCCAAGTAGCAAGTGAGTCAAGGGTTGATGTAGAAGCTGAAACAAGGTATCCAAAAGATCTGGCTAAGATAATTGATGAGGGTGGGGACACTGAAAAACTGATATTCAGTGCAGACGGAAGAGTCTTAGTCTTCTTTTAGATGATGCCATATAGGACTTCTAGCTACACAGGAGATACCACTGTCTGGCTTGAAAGAGGAGCTCATACAGCTGTTTATTTAAGCTGAAGCCAACGCTCACTTACCCTTCTGAAAACCACAGGACTCCTAGGAATTGTACATCTACCCCCTTGTGACCTATAAAATAACAAAGTTGGATGACAGCACACCTGTTTACAATATGGTTTACTGAATATTTCCATCCCACTGTTGCTCAGAATAAAAGATGTCTTTCAAAATATTCCTGCTTGTTGACAATGCCCATGGTCATCCAAGATCTCTGATGGGGATATACAAGCATGAGACTGATACTTTTTCATGTATGTTAATATAACATTCATTCTGCAGCATATGGAACAAAAAGCAGTTTTGACTTTCAAGTCTTTGTACTTTAGAAATACATTTCCAAGGCTATAGCTTTCACAGATAGTAATTCCTCTGAGGTATCTGGGCAAAGTGAATTAAATCCTCTAGAAAGGAGTCACCACTGTAAACACCACTAACATTTGTGACTCATGGGGAGTCAAAATGTCAACATTAAGTTTGTAGGAAGTTGATTTCAGCCTTCATAGATAACTTTGGAAGATTCAAGATGTCATTGGAGGAAATTATTGTGGATACAGTGGAAATAGCAAACAGAATTAGACATGGAATATGGAGATGTGTTTAAGTTGTGTAATGTCATAATAAAACTAATGAGTGATTCCCTCTTATGATGAGCAAGAAAATGGTTTCTTGAGAAGGAACCTGCTCCTAGTTTGGATGCTGTGAATACCGTTGAAATGACAACACAAAATTTAGAATGCCACCTAAACTTCGTTGATAAAGCAGTAACAGTGTTTGAGAAGATTGTAATTTGGGAATAAGTTCCATGGGTAAAACGCTATGAAACAGCAACATGTGACAGAAAAATATTTTGCAACAGGAATTATCCAGTGATGTGGCAAACTTCATTGTTTTGAGGATCTGCCACAATCCTGGTGAACTTAAGCATCCATCAATAATGAAGACTCTTTGCCAGCAAACACATAATGGCTTGCTCATTTTATAATTCAGCATGTATTTTTTTAAAAAAGATTTATTTATTTATTTGAAAGTCAGAGTTACACAGAGAAAGGAGAAACAGAGAGAGAGAGAGAGGTCTTCCATCCGATGGTTCACTCCCCAATTGGTCACAACAGCCGGAACTGCGCTGATCCGAAGCCAGGAGCCAGGAACCAGGAGCTTCTTCCAGGTCTCCCATGTGCATGCAGGGGCCCAGGGACTTGGGCCATCTTCTACCGCTTTCCCAGGCCACAGCAGAGAGATGGATCGGAAGTGGAGCAGCCAGGTCTCCAACCGGTGTCTATATGGGATGCCGGTGCTTCAGGCCAGGGCGTTAACCCGCTGAGCCACAGCGCCGGCCCCTAAGCATGTATTTTTAAAATATACAATGCTATTGCACACTGACACAGTGCAAACCTAATTTTTATATACATTAGGAAGCACAAAATATTTGTGATTCACTTCATTGTCATGACGAACCGAACCTGCAATATCACTGATAGGCCCGTCATAACTGGTGCGTGACTTGCACACAGAGGTAGGAAGCTCTTGCATTCTCTAGCGCCGCATGTTAATCTCCACATGTGAGAGCAGGTAGGAATCCCACGTCAGGGCCTCTGCTTCCTTGACTTCCAATGTAAACTCCAAGGTCTCAACATAATGCTCACGGCGTCTTAACTCTGCCGGCACGCTGCAGGATGCTGGGACACGTGAGCAACAAGTCACACAGATCAACTGAGGGGAGGGAGAAGCCGACTCGTCTCCAACACCTGAAGAAAGTGGGGTGGTCCTGGAGACCCGGGTAGAATCGGGTCAGTGAAGGGGTCAGCAATGATAGTCATTCTGGACCCGTGCACGCCACTGCAGGCCCCGGGGAGCGCACATCTCCCCCGGAGCCGTCCTCAGGCCTGGGGGCCTCTGGGCACCGAGTCTCCGAGGCAGTGAGGCCGTGGTTCTGCGGTGGTGCGGCGGCCGCTCCCCGGCTGACTGCCCCAGCACCAGCTCGGCCCGGGCCACTCCACTGGGCAGCGCCTCAGGGCAAGCCGGAAGCGCCCCAGGGGCGCCTAAGGCGTGGCCCAGCTCGAGATGCTGCGCACAGCAGCAGCCGTGACGACAGACGGCAAGTCCCAGCTTCCGCGAGCGAGCTTCCTCAGGGCGATCCTGCACCGGACACTCGAAGCGCTTTCTCGGGAAGCAGCCCGTCCCAGCCGCGCCCCCCGGTCTCCCTTCTCAGAGTAGAGGCCCGGATGGGAGCCCAAGTGAGCATGCGCAAGAGCCTGGCCCCCGCTGTCATTGGCTGGCTGAAGAGGAGCGCGTCGAATACGCACTGAGAAAACAGGAAGTAAGCCCTACGGGTGCCGGTGGGGGCCAGAAAGTGTGCCCGGTCTCAGCCCTTTGCTGCGGGGAGGAATGAATGGGAGCCCCGAGCTCCGCCGCAAGGTGGGGGCGCGCCGGCTCTAGAGGGGACTGAGCGAGGGAGCGGCCGGGTCGGGCCGCCTTCCTGCAGCATGGAGGACGACGCGCCGGTCATCTACGGACTGGAGTTCCAGGTGGGCCACTCGGAGGGCGGCTGGCACCGGCCGGCCTGGTGCTGACCGCGCGAGGTCTCTGGGCGGCGTGGGCTTGCCGCTCTCTGGCGTTTTCGTCCTGTCCACCCTGCGAGGATCGCCGCATCTCCTAGCCCTTCCCCGTTTGCCGGGCCGGTCGTGCCGGTGTGCCGGCGCCTTCAGCCGTGCTTCCGCCCTCGCGTCCCCGCCGGAGGCAGAGCTGAGCCCGGCGTCCGTGGAGGCGTTCGCCGTGGAGAGGACCTTGCGCGCGGGAGGGCGGCCGCGGCCTGTGGCGCCTCGCGGACCCAGCGGCGGGCGGGCCTCCGGTTTGCTGCTTCCCCGTTAGGGTCCTGTTTCACAGCTCCCGTGACCAGGGCCTCCGCTTCCCGGCCAGGGGAGTGGGAAGTCGGTCCACCCCCGAGCCGGGGTCAGGACGGCCGGCAAGGTGTCCCGCGAGGTGGGAGGGTCGGTGACCGCCGGGGTTTGCCGGGGACTGCGCCCGGGCGCGCCCTCCGTGTGCCCAGCGCTCGGTGGGGCAGGAAACCCACGCTGAAGCCCGCCAGTTTGTGGAGCGCCCTGGTACCGGGCGAATGGCAGCTCGGGGCTCACCGGAAGACTCGGGCTCCTTCGGTTCTTTTCATCCTTGTAAATCTAGAAACTTTACAGCCTCCAAGTAACTCTCACTGGTTGTTTAAAAAGTCAAATGCTGAAGTTCCGATTAAAATCAGTAGACCATACACGTAGCCCTCCCTTGTCTGTTTCCCTGAGACAACCACTGTTTTTTGTTAAACCTTTTATTTCATAAATACAGATTTAGGAACAGTGATTCTTCCACCCTACCTTCCCTCCCGCCCGTCCGCCCGCCCTCCCACTCTTCTTCCTCTTTCCTCGCCTATCCGCACTCTTGTTTTTCACAAAGATCTATTTTTTTTTTTGACAGATAGAGTTAGACAGTGAGAGA